TTGGGAAACGGAAATACGCGAGGACGGTCTTGACAGTCGTCGTTTATCGCACGTCTACCGGTTCGATATATCGACGATAATTCCAAGACGACAAAAACACAAAGTTTTAATATATTTTGTTGTTAAAAGTTTAATAAGAAAACACAAAAACTGTTGATATGATATAATATTATTTTTCTTATTAGTTTTTCGCGGAGATTAATTTAACGGAAAAGTTACGGATCACGTCAGAAGTCGTTAGCGATTATTAGTTGTTGCGGGTTGCTAGGCGCAAGAGTTAGCAATCTTCATGAAACGCCGGCAGGTAACCTTTTTTCTTTCGCGTGACTTTCGCAGGAAGAAAGAAAAGCGCCGCGCGCGCGAGCGAAAGGGTTCTAGAACGAGGCCCAAAGGCGAGGTATTTCCAGCAAGAAGAACCGCGATTAGAGCGATTACGGGCTGCGGCGTGCGTGTGGAACGGTTCCATATATCTAACCAAGCTTTGCGCAACGTGCGCTCGGTCTCGGTCTCAATTAACGCAATTACTCGCTCCCTCTCGTCTAATTACCTATCAAACGGAATTATTATCACGCACGCCGGTCGTCTCTAATGAACGTTATTAATTGCTTTATGATTTTTCGATAAAACGCGCCGCGTTTCGAATTATCAAAGTAATCAAGGTATTATCCCACGTTGCGCGTTTCCGTTTTCTCCGGATGCCGCCGTCTTTACTTTTCGTTCTTTCGGCGAATATCCGCAAGTGTCTCGAATTGTGTGCTCAAATGTTCTCTTGCACGAGCGCGAGGAAGCAAGGTGTGCGCGAACGACTATAAAAGAGACGCTCGTTGCGCAATATATAAGAAGCTTGTCTCGTCTGCAAAATTTATGAACTTTATTTATGTTCAATTTTTACAACCAAAATCACGGAAACGCGCGTATCGCGCAAAGTAATCTTTGACCGAGCGATGATAGCTTAAGCATCGGGTTAGACTGCGCTCGAAGGTATCGAGCAGCAGGTGATAGCGGGCTGAAGAGTCGTAAAATTCCGAGTACGAGACAAGGGTGACGCTGACCAAATAACAGCCGGGGTGTCCCGTCACGGACGCTTTTAACCCACGACCACTTTCCTCTCTCCCCCTTTAATTCCTTATCTGCCGGGCCAATTTGATAGATTGGCGATAGAGAAAGTAGCATCCTATAAAACGGGGCAACCTGCGCGCTGCCACGGACGGACAGGTGCACCGGTGTCAGGTTGTGCACATCCAAACGGCGAGAGAGACGCAGCTGACCAACGAAGCGGCTATAAGCGATGCGATTTAAACGCCTTTGGTATTTCTGTTACCCGCATGATTTTCTAGTAGTAGTGCGAAATACTTTCACAAATCGCGAGATAAATGATAAAAGCGCTTCTCGCACGCTTTGATGCGCGCGCTGTAATGATATCCGCATGAGAGTGAAAGCAAAGCAAACGCGATTAGAGAAACATAAAATGACATTGAGTACGTATCAATTGTCATTATTGTCATTTTTATTACAAGCAATTATAATATATAGAATTATTTATTATTATTACACAGAAACCAGATAATTGATTTTAATAATAAATTTATAGCAACAACGCAAGTGCGTCCGTTTTATTGCGCGTGTCTCCGTAAATGGTTCGATCGAGCTTATAAGATTTTAATTGGCAATTACGCGCGCGATAAAAGTTTCAACGCTTAATAATTACATGATATAAAGAAGTTGCATACAACATTATCCGAAAATCAGTATATACGAAAGCTTGTCAAGAGTGTCAACTTTAATTGCAATTGAAGTTATAATTAAATATGTCTTTGCAAAATCAAGTTGGGATTTTTTTTTTACTTATAAACATACTGTGGAAATTAATTTCAACACAATATCGATAACTTCAGAGACTATTTCGTGGCATTTTGGAATTATATATTTTTGTAGCCGTATCTCTCGAGTGCGATTTATAAAAAGTAAAACCCCTCGTGCTCGCTTAATACGTGCAACGCAGCGCATGGGTTTTGAACGAGCGTGACTTCTACGTTCCCACGAGACGTAGGCTCGACTTTTGTCCCATGATCGAGCAAAGCGAGCAAGCATCCTCCGACGATCCCGGACGTTCGCGCACGCACTCATGACGGACGGATGGACGACGGGCACGTACACCAGAACCTCCACGTGTGTATGGTACAGTCCCAACCGCGAATAAGAACCCAAATAAAGTAGTAGCCTAGAGATCTCTTTTACAAATTGAAAAAAGATATGATACACTTTTGAATTTATGTTTAAACATTGGCTAATAAATAAAAATAAAATAAATACAAATAATGTACAATTAGATAAATCGAGTTACAAACAAATACAGAGAGCTGCAAAAAAAAGAAGAAGAAGAGGATACGCTATATTATAAAATATCACGCTATTATAATATACCCCGACGAAAGAAGTTACGCAACACAGAGCGGTCTTGTCCTCGCTCCAATTTCGCAAAAATTGGTAGTCCGCAAAAATCGCGAGACGTTTTGCGGCAGGCTGTATTTTCGGGTCAAGCTTATCTAATATTTCCGTGATTTAAGACAAAATTGGGCTTTCAAACAGCCACGCGAGAGTCTCGGGACTATTTGTGGCGGCGACTGTATGCGCACACGTGATAATACACACGCGAGCGCACAAAAGATTCAACCTTTACGTATAGTTTGTACGTGATGTCGGAGTTTCTACGTGGGTGCCGGTTTGGTTTTTACGACTTTCGGTGGACTCGGAAGGAGCGGAGTTGCGCGACGTCTCTTTCGCAGGATAAATTGGGGAGTCAGCCGTCAACCCGTTTGATTTCATGACGAAGGATCTTATCGTTGCGGATTTTTAAGAAGTTCCCGTCTGGCGCGCGGTTACGGGCTTGAGAAATTAGCGCAAGACGCGTAATTAAGACGCGTTTGCGTTATTATTATATTAAATACTCGTTATTTGTTATCTCAATGGGAAAAGCGTGAAAGAAACGAGATACTTTCTTTTTTCTGCGCCCGTAAATCACTCTTGTTTTGTTGAGCCAATTAAAAAAGGCGCGGCTCTTAGATTTTAGCGGTGCATAGCCGGAACGCAACACGCGTAACGTATACGCGCGCCGTTAAATTAGAAGAAATCGAGAGATAATTTTAGCACACGGAAGGATGGGAGCCGATATAATCGTATAAGAGAGTCTCTGTACTCTAGTGCCAACTGAAAAGTTGTTGTTTTGCTGTCGTGTCTACGGTGCATTACGATGTCTATCGATCTGCATTATCTGTTCAACGCGATTACGAGCTGAAACGCAACTGAGAAAAATTATTCGGACGCTCCCCTCATTCGTGCATTTAATTACGGCATTCAATTAATAAGGCCAATCTCACGATCGTTGTCAACGCGTGCTCATTTATTTATTAACTAATTAAATTAAAACGCGTACACAGGATGTATCGTAGACGTCGCTTTCTCTTTCCGAGCGCAAAATCAGATATTTTATGCGATAGATAGTTTGATATTTTTTATTAGATATTTTATTTTTTTATTTTAACAACAAATGTATGTGTGACTGTATATGTAAACACACATGGTAAAGTGTGTACAAATCCGCACCGGTGTATTTTTTAAGTATTTTTAAGAATCTACTCTTGAAGAAATAGAAGATTAAGCACTTTTCCAAACTTTATCGGAGATGTTATAATTAATTTTATGACTCGCTAGAAACTTTTGCTTCAATCTTTCCACGTCTTATAAACGAGAAAGTTAAACTCTCTTTGCAAAATAATACCGGACACGGCATCATCGCTTGATATTCGTCGTTCCCTTTATTCCGGCGGCCAGTTGCAACACTTTTGGGGTCTCGTCTCTTCCGCTCGTTAACCAGGGAGAGCCGGGGCTTATGGTAATTTAAAGTAGTCGTCCCCAGTCGATTCTTTCCTAAAGCTATTAGGCGATCATCTCGGATTATCCTACGATTCCGGGTTTACTCGGAACTCGACTTTTCTAAGTTTTCGCCCTTTCGCGCGTTCGCAATACATTTCGGTCTTCTATGCTTGCTCTTCTTATTGGTCCAGTCGGATTATCAAGACGTGTCTTATATTCTCTTGGTGAAAAAAAAAAAAAAAGAAAAGAAAAGAAAAGAGAAGTTAAATCCCCTCCGTCGAACGAGGCGAGAAGTACGAACGTTTCACGGGTGTGCTTCGTGAGAAACGACCACGGGAGTCATCGGAGAAATGTTGTTCTTGCCGGTGCCAATTACCGGCAGTAACGATTATCAGATCTCGCCGGATCGGTAATTACGTATTACGTCTAGGTACAATGTTGGGCTTATTACACAAGCGCGGTCGCGCTCTTATCTCTTGTGATTTTATTAGTTAGGAAATTATTTTTCTCGCATGTCCCGCGTTGAGAGAGTAACTGTACCGCTCCCGGGGTCGTTACCACATTATCATTACTTTACGTCTTTGTTATCGAGAAAACGCGACCTGCTCGCGCGCGGCAACCTTACAATTAGATTCTCAGGATGTTATGAGGGCACCGCTATTTGCAACTCTCGCGTCTTGCCGTTGATCTTTTCTTTCCCCTGTATGCGCACACAATTTTCTCGAGAAATAATCGAAAGAGAAAATACAGTTAACAGTAATATCAACGTGTATGTGCCCCAATTACTAAAATTATAATTACGACACCATTTCACGGCGCCACAGCTTATATTAAACAAATCGAATGTTGCTGTTACACAAACAGAAAAGCGTTGCATGACTTTGTTCATTTTTTCGTTTGCATTCTGAAATTCAACAATCTTTTTAAAAAGTTGAGGACGCATAAAAAAAACAAATAAAATAAATACGAAATCAAAATGAATTGAAAACGAACGGAATGTTTTGCAGTCGTATCGAAACGATACGATAAACTTGACGGGAATATCTCTCGCGGGGGCTGTCGCGCGAGAGTTTTTTATAAATCGCGCTTACGACACAATCGCACATAGAGACTTGTGTGCACAGTACCTGCGCGAACGATATTTCTGACGAGAAGATGGTAGCAGTTTCCAGCGAGGCGCCCTACGGGGAATTCCCGACAGCATGGCGGAATAACTTTGCGGTTGATTTATACTTCCGACAGGCGTAACGAGTTTGCGGTCAGACCGCGGCTTTACGCGTCCATCGTCTGTAAGAAGAAAAAAAAAAGAATGATAAATCAATAAGATGTTTCTCATTGCGCAAATAAATGAAATACCCGCACGGCCACGCTCCATTTCCGTTAACATCTCTAAATTGAAGGCTTGACGTAAATAAGACTACGCGCGCAACGTTCTTGAATATAGTTTTATCTAACATATAATACAGTTAAAAATTTTTCTTATGTGTGTGTGTGGGATTTTATTCTCGCACAATTTGTAATAAAAAAATATTTTAAGTTTAGAGGAAGAAAACGAGAGATTGTGTTTCTTGATATGTCTCTTTTATTTCTGCCGGTTTCTTTGTCACGTTTCACGAGAGGTAACTTAGGGTCCACACTCTTAGAAGATGTTTAACGAGATAGTAGATTCGGACAGGATGCTCGGCCCGTTGACTATCAATGACTCAGTTGTGCAGTTATGTCTCGAGAATAACGTGCGCGAAGCACTTCACGGCACATCCTCGCCACTAAATATGGACTGTCGCCCAATAAACTTCCGATTAAACCTTTAGCGCTGAAGTACGAGGCGTTGTTCAGCAGTTAATACGAACCGTTTACTTTTGTAAGTCAAATCTGAAACTGCTATCGCTTAAATTGCATCCGATTAAAAGAAATAACAAGAATTAAATCTCTCTCTCTCTCTCTCTCTCTCTCTCTCTCTCTCTCTTTCGTTAAGTATATACGGTAGTATAAAATAAAACCCGTTGTAATCAATTAACATAGAGAAAACGAAATGTAGATGATGTCGCGCGCAGACAACGTTTTGCGGCGGTCAGATTCGTAGATAGTAAAACAGTGAATGAAAAGAGCAACTTGAAGAGGATTTGTGGAGCCACCGGTTTTCGTCTCTCGCAGTCGTCTTCGTGGTTGACGTACACGTTATTCGAAGAAGAGTCTTCCTCCCGCGAGGATACGACGAAGGAGAGACAGAAAGACAGAGGAGGGGGCGAGAGAACAGAGGAATACACTCGCGGAATACTAAACGACTTCGGGAGCTTTGGAGCGACGCGGGAACCGTGAGGCCCGTTGTTTAGGGTCCCAAAAGTCACGACGCGGCGGGGAAGAGCGAAAAGGAACCGTGAGGAGAAGGGAGAAAGGAGAAAGGGCCGTACGAGCCCGTCGCGCGCACGGTGTTTTTTGCGCTTAACCTCCTCTTGTCTCGCCTTTTATTTGGGCCAGACGGGAATTCGGCTAAATGCATTGATTAAACTGCTGACATCGTTCGGACGGCCCGGTGGCCACCGTGTCTCCGCGGGTCCGAAAGCTGGGCCCTTTTTTTGCCCCGTCCGTTCTCCCTTTCATTTTTGTCCCGCCACTTTGGGTCGCGGGTCGTAACTCGTGCTTCACGTTTGTTCGACGACGTGTTCGAGCGATTGTTGACTGCGGTCGGAGTTGTCGCTTGGGAATTTAGCAATATTTACGAACGAATAGATTTGATTGTCTCTGAAAATTGTATAGCGATAATGCCGCGTCGAAATAATAATTGCGTCTCTCATTTTACGTTTGACGATAATTAAAAGTGATTTATATAATATAGTTTTTGCGGAAGATACATGTATATTACATGAAAGAGAGCGGGGATAAAATATGAGAAAAAAGAGAACTTTAATCCAGATGTAAAACGGCACCGATTAATTATAAACTGTGGGTCGCGAAGTTAGATAATAATCTACATAAAACTCCGATGTCCTATTAGCTACTATTTTAGCTCGTCGTTATTCGATTAACACTTAGGTGGTGTATGCTGTATCGATCCTATCTTAATATACGCGCGAAGCGATAGCTGGCGTGTCGTTAATATATTCCCGTAATGCAGCGTAAATACACAGCTCGGGAGATGTGGAGAGTACGCGGGTAGTGGCAAAGGGTCTGCGATTAAATTGACAGGCAGTTTTGTCGCGTGTACCTCGTAACGAGGTTGAAAGTGTATTATAACGCGTACGCTAGAAGCAGCAGGTTTAGTAAGTCGAGAGTCAGCATATAAATCAAGTGTAATAAATTATTCGCACACGAAGATTAGCATTCTCGATATATGCGGAACTTTTAATCCCATCTACGTGTATTGCGCATTTACGACAAAAGTTAAATTATTGTTTAAAGTCTGTGCGCGGGATGAAACTCTACTCTCTCTCTCTATCTCTTTGCATCCCGAAACAGCACTCCTTCCTCTACCTTCTCATCATTTCTTATCGAAAAAACACTACGGAATCACGACAGTGGGATCGAAAGAAACGCGGGAACAATCGCGTTGTCTTTTCGCAGATTGTTCGACGGCGAACGTATGTTCGGTATATAAGTTTGGCATGCATCGCGCGCTCCTTCGAGCAGCAAAGAGCCATCTATGGAATTACCCCGATGATTAATGGTACGGCTGGCTCGAGGCAACCCTTCCACCTCATTTTCCACCCTGTCTCCTCTCCCGCCTCCCATACATGCCCCTCTTTCCCCCCGTGTATTGTCTGACCGCCTACGTCCGCCGCGGCCGACGTGTGCTACCAGCCACCGGCCTACCTTGGGCCCCTACTCGGGTCCCTCGCGACGGGTCTCACCCGTGCACGAATGAAAACAGTTTCGGTCGACGTGTAAAAAAGCGTACAATGTTAAACCTGCATTGCCCGTGCCGATCGTATCTCATTCATTCGTCTGTCCGTCTTGTCTGTCGTTTCTCTCTTCATTCTGTCTTCCTGATTTAATTTAGATTAAATATTTAGATTATATTTTGCATCACAACACAGCGAACTTTATTAAGATTCCACGTGAAACTCTCGTTTCTATACATTTAGTCGATATAACGTGTGTGACTTGTGAGTTGATTTTTTTAGCGATATTTGCATTCTTTTTCGTCGTTATGGAGAGAAGCTTCCTTTATTTCTTTACGTCTTTGTTTGAAGTTGTTTCGTTTTACGTCTATATACTTATCTTTTTCTTAATACGCGCGCTTCACTTAGTAACAATTTTACATTTATACTTTTAGTTTGAACCATATTTTTCCACAAAAAAAAAAAAGAACCGACGGGAAGAAGACAGCGAATATGATCCACGACGAAGCGGCCCGACGAAGAAAGAATCGGCCAGACGAGGAGCGAGAGAGAAGAAAGGCGAGACGTGTAGAGCGGGCGAATTCGGGATCGCATGTCGGGGAACAGTAAGACCTCCCAAACAACCCCGACGGGGGCATCTTCCCTGGGAATAGCAGTGATTCCGGGGAAATGTGCAATATCTTCCGTGATCGGGTATTATTACGTCGTGATTACGGGTTTTGATCTAGGCTAGAAGCGTCCAGAGACTTTTTCCTTTCCTCCCCACACCGTGCGCGCCGTCTCGCTGCCGATATTCGCGGCGATGTGGCGTCGATGATGCGGCCAGGACGAGGGGCGGGAAGGTAGAGGAAGGAGACGGATTGTCCTCGGCGACTAGTCGCCATCGTCGTCGTCACGTCGTCATGCGATTCGTGACGGCCGCCACCGCGAATCGCCGTGGGAAGCTACGCTTAACCTCCCGTTCCGCTTTCTCTCTTCTCTTCCTTCGGTCTCTTACTTTTCTTCTTCTTCATTGCGCCGCGCTCTCCGTGCCTTCCTCTCGATTACGGGCAACGGGGTAATGAACGACCTATGCCGCAATGCCGTTGCTGCCTGTGTGCGCGCTCCTTCCTCTTCTTCTCTACCGCGCTTAGTCTTGGACACGAAAACGGTCGGTCGCGGCGCGATTCTTGGTCGCTTCGCCGCTCACGAGATCCGATCAGAAGATCTAACTGTTTTTCGAATCTCAAAGTGGCGGACACGATCGAGACGTACTCGAACGTAGCGCCGCTTCATAATTGGAGTCGACGGCGTACGATGTATTCGTCATGCCCGCTGCATCTCGATCATCAAGATATACCGGATCCCCTTAATCGAAGAACGTGTTTCTCGAAAGTTCCGCGAAAAAAAGAATCACTTTCCGATCACGCCTGCGGCAAATTTTCTTGTCAGACACAGTCAGAGACACAAATTTAATTTAAGAGAATCGGATACTATAAACATATATTATCTTTGTGATTTACAAACAAAACATTGTAAACGTCCAAGCAAACTCGCATGCTTATCACTTTTCTTTATATTCAGCAAGGAATAAAAAATGTCAATCATTGTACGTGATAATGTTCATTATCGCGGCGAAAATTCGATATCTTCTCGCACGATTTTTAATCGTAACTACAGGAAGTGCATCCCGTGGAAGAGGCGTGTGCGATGTAGTAAAAGGCTGTACAGTACCTATGTAGATAGGCGCAGCTATAACCCGTTTTAGAAGTCCGTTGAGAGAGTCTAATGACAAGTAGCACGCGATCGCGCGTCGCATGTAGATTCGCACTTTTGGACCGCGGGATTGCCGCGAGGGGAGACCATTATCGAAACGATGAGACAAAGGGTGGAACGAAGTTAAGACGGTGCAGCTTACGAGAGGTATGAGAGTGCGCGCGAAGGGGAGGATTGAGTCGACGGGAAAGAGCGGTACATCGGCCCGCATTGCGGAACGATGCGCAACAGCTGCACCTGACACGTCATTTGCGTGGAACGTGTATCAGCACCGGCGACGGCTAATTATTATTCCACGTGCGCGAATGCATGCGCACTCGCTCGCCCGTTCGTTTCGTTCCTTCGCTCGTGCGTCGTTTTTCGCGCCAGCATCTTATCGCAATGTTGGCCGCGGATTTATGTAGCGGCTGTAAGAAACACAATATATTACTGCGAAGTCGATTGCACATACATACTTACTCCCGCGGGCACGTGTGCATAATGCGCGCGTTCTGGAATTCGAAATTAATTCCGTTTGTAATTGCGCAATTGATTTATTTAACATTGCACACGCACAATGTCACCGTCAGATCGTTTCTGGGAAATTTCTTAGAGGATTTTCATATATGAGGAAACTTTTATATAAAAGAAAATCACGTGAAAAGCACTTTACTTTGAGTTAGTCTTGCATTTTCAGTGGTTTTTTTTTTTGTT